CTTCCCCTTCCTTTTCCCTTTCCCTTCCCCTTCCTTTTCCCTTTCCCTTCCCTTCCTTTTCCCTTTCCCTTTCCCTTCCTTTTCCCTTTCCCTTTCCCTTTCCCTTCCTTTTCCCTTTCCCTTTCCCCTTCCCCTTTCCCTTCCCCTTTCCCTTCCTTTCCTTTCCCCTTCCCCTTTCCCTTCCTTTCCCCTTCCCCTTTCCCTTCCTTTTCCCTTTCCCTTCCTTTTCCCTTTACATTTCCCTTTTCCTTCCCTTTCCCTTCCCCACAGCCCCACACAGTGCCCTTACCCTGGGTACTACACCATCCAGCCTTCACTTACTCCAGTTCATTCACCAAGAAGTGCTTTTTGGAGGAGGAAAGCCTCCAACATCAGGTTCTGTCCTGCAGCACAACCCTTCAGTGGGGTTTGCAGCAAGCTCCATGCAGGAGGATACATGCAGCACAACGCATGCATCACCAAGCAATGCTCTGCTTCCTTCCTCAATGACTCCAAGGAGCTCAAACCTGAACCAAACCCATCCCATCACACTTTCCAACTGCATTTCAGCTCAGTTTTGCTCTGTACAATGACGACTTTGTGCCTGACGTGCCCAATTTCCCAGCCTGCTGGGGATGCTCTGCTCGTGCATCCAACCTCACCCCACAAAAACACACCCCCTCACCCAAATAAAAAGGACAGCTTTTCCTTCCCTCGCTAATTCATTTACTCAGGGTTATGGGATGCGTGGGATAAAACCCTATAGGGAAAAGCAGCCCTTACCCTGCAGAGCCTCCTTGGCCCGTGCCAGCTCCTGCTCCTTCTGTGCCAGCTGCACCTTGAGCTCAGTGGCCGACAGCACCTCGGGGGATTTGCTGCCATGTGTCTCCTCCAGCTCCTTCGTTAGCATCTCCTTCATTTGCCGGAGCAGGTGCACCTCCTCCTGCAGCTGGGCCACCTCCTCTCGCAGCAGTGCTGGGGAGAAAGAAACAACAAGTGAACAGGAGCCATAAAACCAATGCCTACAGTGTCTGTGGGTCCTTCCCCCAGTTTGGTCACACAATTCGGGGTTTGTTTTGGGAAGAAACAGCCCCTGCCCCGCCTGCACTGCTGCCTCCCACCTTCCCTATAGGTGCAGAATAAATGGGGCAGAGCCAGCATAGTGCTGGTCCCCCATCCCTGAGCCAGCAGCTGCTCTGGGAAGGCATAAAATCTGCTTTGCATACTTGAAATGCTTCCCTTATGAAAACTGGCAAGGCCTCCTCCTGTAAATTATTTAGCAATAAAGTCACTAACGAGGAACATTCGAGCTGCGGGCTGGGGATTTCATTAAAGTCCAGAGTGCTTTCTTGAAATTCTCACAAAAAGCTTGGATAAATCGGTGTCCGAGGAGCACAGCTCAGCTCTGCCCACGTTACCATTTCCCAAGGGGCAGGAGAAATTCAGATTTTTGGCCTCCAGCACGTGGGAAATCAGGGCAAATGCACTGGGTGCATGCAGTGCAAGCAAAGCCCGGCTGAGCAGACACACAATGTGTGCACTGCCAAAGGTCATCGGCACGCAGCTGAGCGCCTGGCTGCTCTTCCCTCCTGCACACAGACCTGCCTCCCCAAACCCCATTAAAATCCCCTTTCCCCCATTTCTGCACACGACCAGTCCCATCTCCTTACCACCCCAAATGCCAGAAAAATCCCATTTCCTCCATTTCTGCAAGCACCCAACCACACAACTCCACTGTCATCCATTCTTTCTCCTTCCATACCCACCCCAGCCCACCTTGTGCTGTTTCTCCCCTCTCACATCCCCAGCCATCAGCCCTATGGCCAATGATTAACCACACACGTTCAACTCCAACCAGCTCCTCTGCAAGCCGTGCTATCAGCTAATTAAATCCCCAACAGGATTCATTTGGTGCCTACTGTATCCCCACTTGGATATGGGCAAGGCTGGTCCAACCATCCCAACTAAAGGTTTTAGGTTGGAATCATAGAATCATGGAATGATCTGGTTTGAAAAGGACCACAGTGGTCATCTAGTTTCAACCTCCCTGTTATGTGCAGGGTTGCAGATGTGCAGTGAGGTCAATGAGATCCATAGGTCCCATCTAGGATGCAATAAATACATGAAGCCAAACCAGTGTGCTGGTCACCTTGGCAAGCAACAAAACTTAAATCTTAAAAATCTTTTTATTCTTATAAACATCTCACCTTATTTTTTAAAAGAAGTTACTTGAACTCCTTTTTTTACTGCTAAAAAAGTGACTTTTCTACAGAGATGCACAGTTGGTGGAAGAGAAGGAGCCCAAACCATGGCAAGGATGGTTCACCCAAGGACATACATATATTTAATACCTACCCATCTATCTGCATCTATCCATCCCTATCCAATGGCACGTCCATATGGTACAACATACAACCCAGCTATCTATCTCTATCTGTCCATCTAATGGTGTCTCTATACACGGACCAAAGTACAACTCATAAACTGAAGGTTTTGGGGGATAAATCCTATATCTCTTGCTATGCTCAAGCAGTAGAAATCATGCTGGGAGCTGCTTGGGTGCTGGGAGAAACCTTTCAGCAGGAAATAAATCAAACCCCCACGCTCTACGTCCAGCTTAAGCATCTCAATGTATGTTCCACGTCCCCAAATGCCACTGGGAACAGCTTACAACCCCACCAGGAGATGCTGCCCCAGACCCAACTGCAGCATCCATCTCTGCCTTAACCCAAACCAGCTCAGATTCAACCCAACGGTGCAGGAAGGAGCCCACCCCCTTCTTCACAGCATCTTCTGTTTCACCTCCCTATGGCCAAACCCCAATGCAAAAAGCTCCCACAACGCGTTTTTCCTCTCATTTTTAACCCTATTTTTTTTGTCCTCTTCCCTTTTTGCTTCGCTGGGGGGGGGCTCATCCCCACCCCATAACGAAGCACTGCAATTAATGGGGATGGAGGGAGCTCCCTCCTCGCACTGCAGCACCCGGAGCAGCCAGAAATCAACACCACTTAAACGTTTCCTAATTGACAAAAACTGCCGTTCGCACACGAAATAATTGGCTGTTAATTATTATTTTAGCTGATAGCATCCAACATCCACGACCCCGCCGCATTCTCCACCCTTTTATGCTCCGAGCACCGATTAACAGACAATGCAAATAATCACAGATATATTTTTTTTCAATATTATTAATAATTTTCATTTAATTTTTGGAAGCATCCGTGGCGAACGCCTCTAACACTTGGGCAGGGCTGCTTTTTTAAATCCAAGCACCAATTTCAACATTTTCTGGACTCGGTGATGAAAACCAAGAAAATATTTAGCTGTTAGTTCTACCTCGGCTGATAGCAACAAACTTCCAAGGTGCTGTCAGACCTCCATATATGCACACATACATGGGTACATCTCCCCCCTGGGACGGTATCAGAATGGTATCAGAGAAAAGCAGTGATTTAAGGACTTAGGGATGAGTCAAGCTCATATTTCAAAAGCACCCCATGGCTCTGATGGTTCTGGTTTGGTCTGACTTTGGGTACCTGGGGAAGGTTCACACATCCATGTGTGTCCCTCCCCCCCCCCAGCAAGCACTAAAATGGGGGAAAAGCACCAAATTTCCAGGCTACGTTCCTTTGGAGAGCCCCAAACTCACTCTGACCTACAGAAGGACCCCAATGCCTGCACAAACCCACCGTGCCCACCCCCACCTTGCCACTGGGATGGC